CAGTACGTTCAGTTCACGTTCGCCCAAAATATGAACGAGTTCATGAACTTTCGTTCAATGAACGCGTTCAGGCACAACACTGGGTATCAGTTATCTGATATGACTGTAATATTAATATCAGGATATAAATATCAGTCCAGATATTCATATCCTTGCATCTCTAATATTTTATGGGCATGTTTGAACTTAGGAGATGTAGTTTTGGAGACATTTTGAGAAGAAACAGAAAAGCGTCATCAGAACGTGGGAAAATCAGCCATTTTTCCATTAATATTCAGCATCGTTATTGTGTTCATATGCTTCTTTGATATTGTGTAGGCTTGGTATAAATAAGCAGAGATGGTGTGTTTATGGTTTTATTTGGTGGATTAATCCTTGATTAGAAACCTGAGAGAAAATGAGAAGAAGAGTCTGTAAGAAAAGGCTGAAATCTTTATCTTTTATCTTAAACCTGAACTCAAACATCTTCTTTGAGATACTTTAATTCAATATTCAGTGTTTCTGAGCTCAGCGTGAGAAAAGCGGTGGCCCACAGAAAATGCAATTCAACGGCACAGTGTGTAAAGCCAGGATGGTTCTTGCTTAAAGCGTCATCATTGTGTTACAGCTTTCAAAAATCATTTTCGTCTCTTGGCTTTCTTCCCTGTGATTCATTTCCTTTCACTCCTTGCTCATTTTATTTCTTCTCTCACCGCTCGTATGTCCTTATCTTTAAGTGGCAAAAAGCTGCAACTGGAAGGAAACCCTTCAACAACTCAACAATCAACACATTGAAAAACTTGCCATCCATTCCATTCTAACATATTATTCATTTGCCCCAAAAGGCTAAATTTATTCATTGATTCTTTCTTCTGGTAATCACAGTTGTGTGACTGCTGTATGCATGAGAAATGAACACAGCTCATTAAGAGGCTTGCAGCCTGGGAGCAGGGCTGGCAGCCGGCCTTATTAATAGAGACACTGATTAGAAGATTTAATGCATGAAACACATGTGATTCCACACAAAGTGTCTGTTCCTGCGATTCCCAAGAGCCGTGATCAGTCAGCGATTTTTTTTTGCCGGACCTAATGACTAGCTCTAGGAGGTCTGGATGGGAGTGTGTTTCCAATCTCATCAGAGTATTAACCCCAGGGTTCCCAAACACATATTCAAGTCTTCCCAAGACTCCCATGACCAAATGATTGTAGAGGCATGCTGCAGGTTTGGATTAACATCAAAGCTTAGTGACACGTATGGCCACACTGCAGGCCTGATTTTCGGCTGTTAATCTCAAAATATTTTCCCCTACTTTTGTTTGTAGCCGCAGAACGTCTCACAACCATTTTTAACAGAATCAGAGGAGCTCATTTAAACTGCTTTTTTACCTGGAACAGACTTATTTTTTTCAGAAACTGTTATCAGAGCTACTTCTGGAGCTAAAACGGGCTTTACGCATCCCAAATTCAGTGTAGATGTTTTGTTGGAATGTCCAGGTTTTACCTTACTAGCACTGTTTTATAAGAAAAACGTTTTCAGCTACTCACCCAAGTTAAATAAACGGAGATTGATGGACTTCACTCAGGTGGAACTTTATTTTACCTTTGCAATGAGAGAGCAGTTCATCAAACAGTCGTTATTGTATGGTAATCAGCCCTGTTGTGATCTGGAAATGTTTGTTCCCCTTACTTACAACAATGGAAAGTAGTCAGAGTCTAAACAAATTACAGAAATTCTTGAGAAAGAATCTTGCTTTTTATGGGAATAAGTATGGCTTGTCTACAAACATCCCTCACTCATACATTGTGCTAGCCTGACGTAGTCCGACTCAATTCTAGTCAGAATATGAGTCTGATGCTGCTCCATAGAGCTGTGATTATGGGGCGAACCAGGAAAAAAAATGCCTCTGCACTCAACTGGATAGACCTACAACCAATAAGAGCAACGGAGTGCGTGACGTATGTTAAGCGACGCATAGTTGTTGTTAACAAAAATCAAAGCGTGCAGTTTCACGCCTAGAATAAGAAGATGAGCCTTGATCGCGTTTCTCTGTTCCTCTTTTAAAATTAATTTGCTGTCGATATCTTCTAGAACAGACCTAATAGCAGAATCTACTCACCTCAACTCTCCAGCGGCAGCCATTGTTGTTGTCACCCAAGCGCGCTTTGGTCACATGGTTGATTACGTTACTGTTGATCATCTGTCCATCATCGTATAAAGCCCGCCCTGACAATTTGATTGGATCACCAGAGGGTGGGTGATCATACTCGCGCTACTATGGAGCAATGCCAGACCGAACTTCCCGACCTCAAACCTTGTGGGCGGGACTAAGTTCGGAATGGCACCCAGGCTAGCATTGTGTAGCTTTGCAGGTGAAATAGACTTAGTGAAAAACTTTTATAGTAAGTTAATAGCATAGATCAATATATGAAATAAGAGAAATCTAAATTTTCCGAGCACACAATGTTAGATGGCCCGGAATCAATTCAGATGCTCAGGAAACATCCAGCAGCTACAAAAGCCTTTAATGGTAAATGCAGGATGTTCTGAATCTATACAGCACCATTAATGTCAGAGGACGTTTTGCAGCACATTCAGACAGAATCTACACTGCTGTACTTGAGCAAAAATCATGATCCAAAATGATTAACTGTCTTAGTTTTTCAAGTGCATATCCAGCTGCTGCCATTCTTTTTTGGATCTATGCCTGTTAGTCTGGGGAGGGCAGGAATTGACACACAATGGATGTTTTCGATTTCAAAGGCAGCATCCTCCAAAGACCTAATCTGGACTGGGTCCTTCGGGGTCCATGAAAATAAGGAGGCCGAAATAGTTTTTCTGGATTATAACAGGCCCAGCCTTTATGAAGCGAAACATCTTCAAATCTCGGAAACCAAGTCCAGTGGATTGTTTTTTAAACTTTTACGAAATACACAGTATGCAGGGCGCTAGCCTACTGGATTATGGAAATGGACCTTAAATTGACTGGATTACAGTGTTATTAGCTATCTGCTTGGTACGTTGAAGTATTTGTAGTTCTTCCTTCTCCTGTACTCCATTAACTCTGCATGTAAAACTGTTAAAGTCTGGAACACTGTTATCCTTCTTCATTAACACAGTCTCAGTCCAGTTTAGTGTTAAAGGAATAGTACACCCAAAACATGATTAGCCTTCATTTTCTACTCACCCCCATGCTGAACAACACTCTGGAGTACTTTTTT